CACTGCACTTTCCCACCTTGTACAGCCGGGTGTGCCCCAGGATCAAACCAGTGACCTTTGAGACAGGAGGTGATAGCTGTATCTGGTTGGGGGTAGAATAATAAAAATAAACACTTATAAACACAATGCCAATAGAAGGACTGCAACCATAACAATAATGGCTCTGTAAAAAAATTTGGTCCAGGAACAAAATCCATGTACGCTGCCAAAAGGCCGACCAGACAACTATGTTGCTGGTTGAACATGCCATTAATTTGGGGGTTGGCCAGATAATACTTTTTCTACAACAGTGCAATTAATTGGGAGTTGCTGGTTAATGGAATGGCAGATAAGAAGAGGGTCAGCCTTTACTAAAATTTCTTAGCCAATTATTGTATTCTTTTCTTCATATTTAAGCTGAGAAGAAATTCCTCTGTTCCTCTCTTTAGACTCAAAGTGAGAAACTTGTCCATCTCATCTGACCTTGGTTTTTCTGGTCACCACATGTCTGTCTCAATAGATTCCCCGGATGGCAAGAAAACTTCCCTAACAGATTATTGATGCTGAGGGTCGGGAGTGCGGGGGTTCTGGGTATGGGTGTAAGTTTTTATGTTGTTTTTGTTTTATTCTTTGGAGTGAGCAATATGGGGATGTGTGTTACATTGTTATGCCAGTTGATTTTATTTTAGTTTTTATTTTGTTTGAGTCTAGCGTTTTTGTGTTTAAAGCACTAAAAGTTATGAGTAGGATGCCATTAATTTAAGATATTTTTTGGTGTATTCAAATTATTCAGCTGAGGAAACAACTAAGATACATCCCTGTATATGGTACAATCAGCCACTTTGAATGGTATACTCATAGATTCAGTTTGTCTGTAGGTGCACAATATATAGGTATCTTTGTTGTTTACAAAATTAGATTCAAAATTGCTGATTGTCTGGCATGTGCTTGACTGATTCTTATTAATATTTACTGTATATAAATACAGGGACTTTAATAATAATTCCATTAGCACAGTGACATTGAGTCAATGTCCAGGGGTAAAGCTTTTTCTGTTATGCAGTGATGAAGTTTTTTGTTTGAAGGTCTTGCTTAAGGGAATAACAATTTCATTAATGGAATCCTATTTTTAGATTTTATTTTCATTTGTGAATATCCATGTCTTTACAGTAATCAAGTGTGATAATGACTGATGCAGCCCTCACTGTAATATGCTTTTAAAACATGTATCCATGGGTGTGTAGTAGCAGTAAAATTGTTAGGTAAATTTCAGATACGTTTCTCTCCATATCATCAGGACATTTTCACCACATAGGCATTACTTTACCAGTACTTTATACTTATGTTTTTTTTTCTTTACTAAAGTTAATGTATCAGAATGATTAAAATGGTTATTATAATGCATGTAGTAAAATGTGACCTTGCCACCTCCAGCCTCAGCAATTTTTGGACCTGGGCCTTGTGGAACACTGTGAGGGCTGCCACATCTCAACAGTGCTTTAGAGAACCCATTGTGATGATGATGATGAAAGGGAGGGTGAGACATTTTTTGTTAGGTACAGGGCCAGTTGTTGTTTGTTGTTTAGTTTTCCGTTGTGGGAAGGACCACTAGATGTCCATATCAGGGTTAAGTTATTCCAAATAAAGGTTAATCTTGAGCCCTGTAGAGTGTTCGAGAATCCCTTTGTGGTCCGGCTAACCTTTGTTTGATGGAGACTCAAAGTGAGGCATTATGGGCAATGTTAAGGTTCTTACTGAACTGGTGTCCATAACAAAAGTTGCCACATGATCCAGGGATGACAGAAGCACTCTCCTAAAGTAAACCTCGATATGCGATGGGGTCAGGTACCTGATAAACCCGTCTATGTGAAATATCGTAGATCGGTATCATGTATCATTGCCCAAAAAATTCCTACACTTATAAAATCAATATAAAACCATTAAACAACTCCCACCACCTCAGGAAGAACAAGCAGTGACAACATAAGCACAATGATAGAGGCCGACACAGATCATATGTTCACGAAAATACTGTAGAGGCAAAGCACGTTTAAAGTCACCAAAAAAACAAAAACAGAAAATATCACTTCACATTCACTCTAAACGTTAGTGTATTCCTCTCACTATAAGAAAAAAAAAAGCTGATGAGAAGTTCAATGTGCATACAGTCAACGATGCTGAAAGATAATCGTGAAGCTATGCGATGATGGACAGATGCGATCAACAAAGAACCAAGTGCAGGACTGTAGGATTGTAATGTGCAGGTTGGCCGTGTGGCGGCGCGCAGGTAGATATTGCTGCAGCTGACGAGTGCAGTGAGAGATGCAATCCCTATGGTGGTGTATAGGGTTAAATATTGTTTCCTTATAAAATGTCACTGACTTGACATAGAAAAATTTAATTTCCATTTCTGGAATCCTTGCAAGACAGTGATTAATTTGAGTATATACAACCCACAGTTTGCACTAGAGATAAAAATTTTTTTCCAACCAATGGATATCGTTAACCCTTACGCCTTTTCCCGCCACTGTTTAAATGCCCAGCGCGGGTTATCAGGTTCCCTTGTGACTATTTGTCTGTTGTCTGTCACGCCACACCTCGGCCACAGGGAAGCTTCCTGAGCATAATTACCTTCTTTTGTTTGTTTCATTTTCATTGTTTGTCCATTTTATCATGTTGTATCAAAGTAATATTGCTAAAAGTAGTGTAGTTGTATTGTAGTGTAGTATTACTGGAAAATGTTGCTATGATTATGTTATAAATGTATTTATTTGTGGAATTATTATTATTTTATGCATTAGTATTTGCTCTACCAAACACAAAGACAGCCAGGCAAACTGGCAACCGACTGCGTGTGTGTTGCCAAGCACTTTTTATGAAAAAGAATGCAAATACAGTAAAATATTCTAAATTAATTAGTTATAGCAAATAAGTATTATGGTCAGTAAATATATGCATTACTGGCCACCTCGGACACAAAGGCAAGCTAAAAATAGCTGGTAAGTGTGTAGGTGACCACGAGCGCCGCCAGCTGTCAAAACAACACTGTCCTCCTATCTCCCTCCCTCAGCGATGCCAGGGAAGTTTCTATAAAGTCAATATATAGTTTTTCTTTTATTTTTTATTGTTTTATCATTTAAATAGATTAAAAATTATTTTTAGAAAAGTTGATTTTTCTCGATTTACCCCCGTGTGGGGGGGGGGAGTACTGCCAGCAGCACCCTAACCTAGGGTTTAATGGTTAAAGCAAATTTTTTTTATCACATACTGTATAGCCAGATGGTCTTAATTCATGACCATCGTTAAAGCAAAATATCGCTGAACGGGACATCGTATATTGAGGTTTACCTGTATGTCCTCCAAGGTGTGGGTGGCTGCCAGGAAGCATGCCTATCAGCATGCATCCCATCCATGGATCAATTCCAGCAGTTGGTTAACCAACTGAACTGCACTCTGGCTCTCCTGGTGGTGGTAAAAACATCAGAGGGTGTATTCAACAGTAAAGGTTGAGGTCACTAGCAGTTAGGGATTTTTTTTTTTTTTTTTAACAAACTTTGAAGTTCCTTCCTCTCAAATAGTCCACAGATAGTTGAAGGAGATCCCTTCAACTCCCTTGGCAGGCCCCTGTAATGACCATTGCTCTGCACATGATGTCTGAGGTGGATTGAGATTATTTTAAACCAAACTGGTGGTGGACAGCAGTGTGTGGTGATCAAGGAGGTGATAGGTGTCATCTGCAGTTAGCGTCTCAAATAACTTGCCGTCCATAGATAAGTGAGATATGAGCCTGTAGTCCCTTGGGTTTTACTGACATTTCTATTTTGTGGACAAGTTCCATTCTGGCTTTGTTCTGTATGTGGGCTAGGTGTTCTATCCCCAAGCAGACATTATGTATAGATGATCAAAAGAAGACCAGCAAGATTGCTGATATAGTGTCATAGGAAATACAGGTTGATGCTTTGAATGCCAGCTGCTTTTTTTTAACATCCACCTCACATAGCAGGTGTGTGACCTATTTCTGTGTGATTACCACTGGTCAGTTAGACCTCATACTGATATTCTTTTGTTTCACTAGTGCTTGGGTCCTGATGAGCTCTAAAACACTCACTTTAAGGTAGATAGTGGAGATGTGAGAAAGAGATTTTGGATAAAGAATTCCCAATAAAATCTTAAGATTTTTTTTTTAGTTTGATACAAACTTGTAAAATGTAATGAATGATAGATTACTGGAACAATTGTGCAAATATTATGAGAAAGAGAGAGAAAAGGGTAAGCCATATAAAAGATTAAGGTTGTGACTCAATTGATATGGTCTTAGCTTATATGTGTGCAATATGCCAGAGGAATTATTTGAGTTTGTGCAGTTGAGATACATTTGTGTGAAACAGGAAGAGGGACTGGAGGTGAGCATCTCGGTGATAAATCGACTTAATCAACAATGTCAGTACTGATGAAATATCCTCATGATGTGGAATTCTTCATTACCTTTGTTTCCGTTCAGAAAGATGATTATTGGGTCTATTGCGTATTCTTCGGAATTTTGATGCATCTACTATTCAATTTCATTTTGTTGAGAATTTGAGAATGAGATTTAGCTGACTGAGACAGTCTCTGGCTAGTACAATGTTAAGGGAATGTTTCTTGGTATAAATTGAATACAGTATCTTGAATATAAATTTAGTGACTGGAATGGAATTTTATCTTAAACAATACTGTATAGTGTTTCTTTAAAGTCTTGCTTTAATGTTATAATGTGGTATTTACTATTTTTTGTGTGTGTGCATGTTGATACTGTAAAATTAGGTTCTATTGTGTAACTATAGAAGCATGCTATACAGTATTAAATTATATGTTCTATAAAATACTGTGATTATGTTGTCTGTGGGAAGTAGTTCAGTAGTTTTCTAGTTCAGTGTAATATTCAGCTATTAGTGGCCGTGATAGCAAAATTTTATATATTTTTTGGCATTCGTGCCATTTGTTACTTTTTAATAATTAATGAAAGTCTCTCTTTACTGCAGGCCAACCTCCACTTGTAGGATGTGGGAATTTAGGATTACGAGGCAACTCTCTTCGTCCTCCATTACTGTCTGCTCTTCTGCGCCATCAGTCATCTGGTGAAAGTGCCACAGATACATCTACCACTCTCAATCCCCAATCTTCCAGCGATAGCGATAAACATCCATCCAGTCTCGACCCCCAGTCATCTTACGATAGTGTCAGTGATTATCCAACATCTGATGCTGACGATGTGTCATGTAATGTCTACAACTTTTATCCCAGAGGATGGGCGGTCTCAGGAAACCAGATTATCTCGGGACAGCCGTTATCGGTGAGAGGAGTGTTAACCCAGTTGGAGGGAAAATTTCCAAATAAACCTTGCTCGATTCTTACCAACCCAATGGAAGACTTATGGCAGGAGCCTGAGGATGCCCAGAAAGTGATTGATGATAGCTGTACCAGTGATCAGAGTTTACTGTGTTTAAATGGTCCCTCCAGAGACCCTGATTCAAGAAGTACATTACCAAGAATTAAGAAAGATAGTAGAGTCTGTCTTTATCCATACAGGTGTCTTCCAGGAAGTGTACTTTGTAAAAGAGTAGGACACACTGAACCTGGTAAAAAAGAGAGAGAAATTGTTAAGGAAGCAGCTGAATATTATCAAAGGGCGTTGTATAGTGCGCAGGAGCGAAGAGAATGGGCTAAGAAGAGTTTAAGTTCAACTAGTGATGAAGATACCCTTTTGAATGAGTATTCATTTTCAGGCACCCAAGATGAAGCAGTCGTCACTCATGAGCCCAAAAAATACCCGGTGAGAATCAAAAGTGAAGCAGACCTGAGCAGAGCTTCTAGTATCATTAAAGACAATCTTGCTAATATTGTTCAAAGGTATCTTGTTAAATCTGCAAACTCACCAGATTGCCAATATCTATATCCCAAAATTCCCTCAGAAAATCCTACTCTCAAGTTGCCATATACCTCTGATGAGCCCCAGGTCCTAACACTTCAACCCAGAGGAGTACAAGAACCGGATAGCCAGCATGTGGATATAACTGTAGTAAAGGCTGAGGTGACCGAAGCAAGTCTCGTTAGAATCACCGAACAGGTTGCCCCAATTACTGAAATAGAAAGCTTCCGCCAGGGTGGTAGTCTTAAGTATGTAAATGCTAAGAAAGAAGAAAGATTAGTTCCTGTTGTAGATAATAAGGAAAAGATCGAACAAACAATACCCCAAATTGTACCTTCATTATTTAATCAATCCTTTACCAAACAAAATGAACAAAAGCCAGATATACAGATCACTGATGATAAGAAAACTGTCTGTGCAGCAAATTGTAGACAATCAATTAGGTCATCAGGCAAGAGTGAGAAAAAGTTAATTAAGAGTGAAGAAATCGTTCCTCCAACCATGAAACGAGAAAGTCGTATAGATATTCCAATGAATATAGAAGATGAACTGAAGAGCAGGACTCCATTTGATCATGAGGATGCTAAAGTTAAAGTTACTGTGATAAGAGAAGACTTTCCATACGTAAACATGGATACCAGTAATGAAGCAGAAGGAGCTTCTCAAAACTTAAAGTTAGTTGATGTAGCAACAGAGAAAACCAACAGAATATTTACGGATAAACCTGTTAATACAGGAATCAAGGAAACTGACAGAGTGCATGCACAGAGTGGTGGAAAACATCATGATGATATTACCAATATATCATTTATAAAAGATAAAAGGCTTATCAGCACAGCAACAAAGAAGTATGAGCAAATTCCATCTGAGGTGTTGGTTAATGTATCAGTTGCAAAAAGTGAAAAGCTTGAGGATGTAAGACTTAAGAAAGTAGAAGGAACCTTTGAAATAACACGAGAAGAGAAAGAAGATAATGCTAACAAGCCTGCTACAGCCGAAGACTTCTACAACATTAGACTCCACAGAGAAAAAGTTCAGGATTTGGATGTGACGACCAAGATGAAAGAATTGGTCTTGATTCAGCAAGTAGGTGAGAGTATCATTGATACTGATGTAACATCAAGTGAGAGTGGTAGTCATGATGGTGTTCCCACACTTAAAGGTGATAAAAATTTTGCTCCATCTGTAACTGTAGTTGAACCTAATGCCATTATAACTATTACCAGTGATATTCCTAATGTAACTGTACAGATTAATGACTCAAATACTGAACCTTCCTTGGTTTTAAGTGAAAGATTTGCTGATATTCCTATCATTTTAGATGAAATGCAACAGAACAGTCCCTTAAAAGAGAATGAAAGTTATGATCCATACCTTCATTCCAATAATTGGTTTACCAATGATGTAGTCATATTTGAAAGCACAGAAGAAAAGGGTGATGATTCACTTGATGCAAATGAAGATGTAGCAACAAGATTAACTAAGAGACCAAAATGTTTGAAAGATATCAATAAACTCAATACTAAATCAAGCACAGCCAGTGAAAGTTCATTTGAATCTTTGCCATACAGAATGCTGACATCTCAGCCAGACAGTCTTACAGATGATATAGCAATAGAGCTAACCCAAGCTCCCCCAGACTCAGAGAAGTTGAGAGCAGCTAGACTAGAATTAATAAGACAAGAGCGTATCAATGCTATCTCATTACACAGCATATCTCTCATGGAGTCAAAGGATGAAAGCACTTTCAAGTCTGATTCACCAGAGGAGGAGGAGGAGCATAAGACTGAGGCTAAAGACATGTCTGGAGGTATTTCACACATAGAAAGTACGTTGGTGGATTCACTGATAGGAGCAACTCATATATGTGATGAAGGTAGACAGCAGGATGGGCTAAGCAGCGCGTTGTTTGATTCAGGGGTAGAGGTGATGATGCAGGATCATGGAACCAGTGTTACATCATCTCTTATCAAGTCATTTCCCAGTCCTGTTGACTCTGTACCTGAATCTGGCTTCTCTAGTCTTAAAGAACCTTTGGCTAATGAAGGCACAAATGAAGATGGTGGATTTGATGACCACATTGGAGTTTCTCTCAGCAAGTCAAAAGACAGCCTAGATCTCACTGACACTGATCGCTTTCCTGGGACTGATACACTCTCAGATGATATGGAAACTCTTTCTCTGAGTACTGGGGATGTAACCCTTGTGGAAAGTGGTCCTGTGTCTACAGTAGGGTCAGCAAGGGGGAGTATCTCAGAGTTCTCACAACAGGATACTGGGAGGTTGAAGTTTTATTCAAGTGAACCTTCCAATTTAGATCTAGGTCCAGTTGGTGTTCTCAGTTCATATCAAGAAAATTCTTCCTATTATAGTTCCTGTGATTCAGAGAAGAAACAGTTGCCAGCTGCTGATTTCTCTCACATTAAGCTCTCTTCAGATTCATCAGCACCAGAGCATTATGTTGAGGAATGTGCATCAGAAGAAATTGCACACAGTTGTAGTGAAATCGCAAAGGTTTCACCTGACGTTTCAAAATCAAATCTTGTAGTGAGGTTGGATGAGAAAGCTATTAGATGGCTGTCTGGTGATGGGAGCGGTTCAAAGATGAAAACTAGTGAATCACTTTCCTCAGATGACACCGTTATATCCAGGCTTTCTTTTGAAGAGCACAATGCCAAGCTTCTTAGTCAAGGATCACAGGAAGAACCAACTGAGTTTTCAGAGTCTCCTTCAAGAATCTCTCCTAATGATGAGAAAGATGAAAAGACAAGAAAAGACTTATTTAATATTACAGTTCAAAGTACAGATTATAATAAGGAAGCAGTTAATTCTAAAACTGAATCTGCAATGGAGGATACAGAGATGGTTAATGAAATGAGAAGTTCTGATGATGCAGCAGTAGTTCTCAAAGGTCAACAGGTAACCAGTTTTCCAGACAAAGTCATCAATGAATGCCAAAAAGAAAAATATTCAGTACACGTTGATGGGAAGGATAACATGATAAGGGGGGAAAGTACCTCATCTTCAGAAAAAGCTGTTGACTTAAGTATTGGTGAAGATTGTACAAGTGAAATTAGTAGAGGTACAGATTTCATCGAAAAAGATGAAACTGTGACCATACATGAAGTTGTAGGTCATGTATATTCCAGTACTAGAGATAGTCGAGTTGATTCTATGCAAAACAACATTGAGCTTCATTTATCTATTGCAGATAAACTGAAGTTGTTAACCAGTTCTGAGCCTGTGTCAGATTCAGTACAGAGAGATGAATCATATGGTATACATAATGTTAAGAATCCAGATCATGTAATGGTTGAAGACTTTAGCCATCAATCTGAGAAGTCTTATGAGGTTGGGTATTCAAACTCCATTGAAGGTTCAACATCTTTACCTCCTAACAAAGAAAGTAAAGTAGAGAAGACGGGAGATATGGCAAGTTCCAATACTGATGTAATTGTGTCGGTGACATCGGAGAACTCCAAAAAGAGTGATGTCAGTGAAAGATCAAGTCCTAATGCAAATGAAACATGCAGCACCTGTACCTCAGACCGGCCAAGTAGACACTCCAGCAAGAGTGGAGTGTCAGATCTTGAAGATGAAGTTTTCTTACCACCAAAGGAAAACTATATCTTCGATGGTAGGCCTGTGATTTATTGTCCAAAGATTGATATGGCAAACCAGATTGGAATTTCTCCTCCAAAAGTGGCCATGAGTGTATTTGCAGTTGTCCCTTCAAAGCATACAAATATAGGAAAAGAGGAAGACTGGATAGCATCTGGTAAAGAGGATTTGCTAAAGTTTGCTAATTACTCAACACTTGCCAAATTAACCAATAATGGAAACATGCAAGAAGTAAACAAAACTGAAAATTTGACAACACAGCCAACAGAGATAACTTCCTTGCCGGTTTCCAGGGTAACAGCTCAAGATCATTTTCCTGATATGAGAGGGAAGGAAATGCAGTTAATAGAAGAACTAAGAGAAACTCATGAAGGATCTGTTAATGTGTTGACCTTATCTGACACAACATGGAAAGACTCTAGCAAACAAGGCATGTCATTAGACTCCTCAGGAAGACTGTCTTTGGAAAAAGAGCTCACCTGTTCAAATGATACTAGAGAAGCACATGTGTTGGATATTGAGCATGGAGATTGTATCCTCCTTCCAGAAACTAAAGGAGATACTATAAATGTGGCTGATGGAGTAATGCATGAAGAAAAGATGAATATTGATGGAAAATACGAAGAAATAATACAAAGTGATTATCATCAAAGGAGTGAAAGTGAACTGGCAGTGCATATCCCAATCCCTGAATCTGCCTCAAGAAATGAATTGAAGGCAGAAAACAGTCAACAAAGTAACTTAAATCAAGTGGTTTATTATGAGTACATGCCCATGATGGGCACAGAAGGGAAAGTGTCTGAAGATTTACATGACAGTCACATGCACAAAGTTAAAACAGAAATAAAGAGTGAAGAGAAATCCTCCACAGAGACACAGTCAAATATCAATTTAGTAAAAGACAGTTTATTTAGTTGTGCTGGTAGTAAAATTTTTGAATTGAAAACCAGTCAGCTACACAAGGAAAATAAAGAGTGTGTGGATCAGGAAGTTACATATTCAAGTAAATCCTCACCAAAGGAAATTTTTGAACCTAGTAAACCCAGACTGCTCCGTATGCCCAACCTTGAGAGAACTGATACAACTGTGTCGCCCATTCATCAAGCCTCGCTTAAAGTTTCTGCTAAATCAGGTAGTACACCTCAAGAATCTCCTGTGGTATCGCCTGCTGTTACTTGTGACATGAAAAAAGTTCCATTTCCAGTTACTAATTTACCGGTGGATGCATATGGCTCTTCAAGCCCCGTGTCTAGAGAGGCAACTGATGAAGAAAATTCAGTAATTGAGAATATAGCAAAGGTTGATGTAAAACTGAAAAGTACAAGCTTTGGTGAGAAAACAGACAGTGATCCTGAAGTGCCAGAAAATGCTGTTGAAAGGGCATACATTACAGAATTTTCATCTCGTGAAATTACACATGAAGAGGCAAGAATATTAGGGCGAGGAGGAAGTGCAGAGGAAACATCAACAAGAGATGAGTCATTAACAAGGTCTCCTGAGCCAGAGTTAAAAAAATATGGCAGTGAAGAGCTGTCATCAATATTAACATCAGATAGCCGGGGATCATCAGCATCAAAGAGTTACTTGGAGCCAGATCTAAGATCTGTTAACTCCAGCTGGGGTGCAAGTGGATCACTAGAATGCTTAGAGAGTGATACTGATAGCAAAGGGTCCCACACTCACAGACACGGGTCAATTACCACTGCAAAATCAGAAGAACTTGGCATGAAATGTGATAAGGTAAGCTTAAAATCACAAGGGTCCCTGGATAAGTTTCCACACTTTGATCAGGTCACTTCTCAGCAGAAAGCTCGTGGGGCACGCAAAAAAGTCTTCTCTGTTGACATTGAAAGTAAAGATAAGAAAAATACAAACAAAGAAATGCATAGGAGTGTCACCCTTCCAGCAGGATCGATGTCTTCAAGTAAGAAGGAAGAAAAGAAGAAAGATAAGGAAGAAAAAAGTAAGAAAAAGAAGAAAGATGGGGTAGGAAACAGTGAGAAGAAATCTGCCATGTTATCTTTGAAGGGGCTGTTGAAGAGAAATAAATCCAAAGAAAAAGAGAAAGATAAGGATAAGGATTCGTCTCGGGAAAAGCTGTCATCTCCTTCTCTATTCCGAAAACTTGAGAAGAAGACTAAAAGCAATACCCAGTCCCCACTTCTTGATGAGAGAAAACAAGGGGAACAAGGTAATGTAATAAATGGTTCCCGTCGAGATGTAGAGAAAACCAAACACAGCCCTGTAGCAACCAATGGCAAAACACGCCCTGTAATTAGTAGCCCTGTTAGTGTACAGCAGGTAGGTAATATGGCAGGTATGGGTGTAGCAACAACCATATGTAGAGGCAATGGTGGATTAGCAGCTTCTGGGTCTGATAGTGACAGCCCAATTGGGAGTCGCCAGTCTTCTCCAAAGCGTATCATCAGCCACCCCCGTATGGCCAGCCTTGGCACTCAGCCTTCCCCGCGATTGTACAAACACGTCCTTACCCGGCATCTTTCAAGCAGCCAAGAGTCGGTAGACAACCCTCTCCTGTCATCAACCCACTCATCCCCTCAGGCATCTCCACATACATCTCCTAAGAGAATTATCCCTGCTTCAGCTTCCTCATATAGTCTTCCTGCCAGTAGAGATATGAGTCCTCCAGCCCCAGTAATGGGCACCCGAGCCCTTCGAGGATCCAACAATAGCTTTTCGGTTACAATAGGCTTCAAACCTAAAGTTGAGAAGCGCAATAGAACCATGAGTGAAGGAGCCGATCTCAACAAAGTTTCACTCTCACCGGTGTCTAAACGCAAGGAGGGTTCACGTATTTTGACACAACTTAATAAACGATCATCCTCTATGGAAATTCTTGTGTGTGGTAAAATCAGAGAGCATTGTTCACAAAGTGGAAAGTCTCCTAGTGGAAGCCCATTCTCTCGCGAGGGAAGTTTCCGATTGCACAGAGAAATTTCTGTAGAGACTTTGTTTGAACTTCCCGAAACAAGTCCCAGATCAAGCAGGACACAGGAGGAGTATCAAGAGTACCTTAATGAAATTCATGCCAGGAATGACTCTCAGCATGGGTCGTCTTGGAGTTTAGTTGAAGAATCGGAAATTGATAAGGTTAAACCAGATACACTTAGTAGGCGGAGTTCCCATCATACCCCTGCTGGGAAAAAACTCAGTCTACCACACAATATGCATCTTTCAGGGTTGTGTGAGACAGCGTCGTCAAATCCAAACCTTCAGCGTACTGGATCACCATTTGTTCGAGGTGTTTCACACAGCTCAAGTTTTACCTCCAGCCCCTACAGGCGACCTCATTCATCTGCAGCAGTATATTCTCCAGCCAAACGTGTTATGTCCACCTCTGTAGGTCTGTATTTTCTTCATTTCTCATTGTCAGAGGTAAAGTTACTGTAGAATATACCATACAGCACTACTGTACTTACAGTGTGAAAAATTTTCACATTTTATGATGCAACTCTTGTCTTTAGTAACTAATTTGATCCCACTAAGTCTACAAGGTTAAAACTTGTGTTACCTAGACAACTTGCAGGTGATATTAATGAATTAAATTAATTTAAACCTTGCTAAAACCATTTTTAAGTACCGGTAAGTGAATTTAGATATGGCAGTCTCTTCTATAGTTGGAGGCAATCAATTGTTACATGAGCCTGTGCATATTGCTCCTGTCAGTTAGCATATCCATAAGCTGTAATTCCATGCATCAGACTTCATTAGGTGCCTTGTGATACTGAATTGAATTGAATTGAATTGAAACAGTTTATTTCGCCAGAAAAACAGATACAGAGTGGATAATAAAAACAATATTAACATGGCTGAGCCAGTTGAGAACCTGAGCTCTCTTTTAGGCACCTGATATATACTATACTGTACATTTATCTCGGAAGTATTATGTAACATTTACTAACATCTGGAATAGTATAATAGCACGGTGGTAATAAGAACATCTCATAATGTTACCACGGTTATCACTTCAATATTTTTTATTTTAATTATTTATAATTTTTTTATTTTTTATTTATATTATAAATATATACTGTACAAAAATTGCAGTGGAATTGAAAACATAAGTCTAATGGGGGAGCAGTACAACATGGGTTGTACAGTATTAAGGTTGAACAAAAGAACAGAGCTGTCAGGATTATGTCTAGTTGGCAAATATGTTTATTGCAATGGTAATTTCTTATCTACTGTATTTACATGATAATTTTCGATAAAACGGTTTTGATGGTACAATAAAAGCAGGTACTGTAAATATAGTAGGTGTTACAAGAATTATTTATACTTAGACAATAGATATTTTTTTAAGAGACGATTTAAAGGAAGGGAGCGTAGTCTTTGCTCGGATGTGTGGGGGTAAGTTGTTCCACACCTTCACACCATGATATTTTATGGAGGTCTGGGACTGAGAGGAGTGCATGGGGGGTGGTCGTAGTAGCTCTGGGTGCCTTAAGTTGTATCTCTGATTATTCTGGAACTGGAAATAATTATTGTCAAGCAAGTGACTGATAGATTTGTAAACAAAGAGGGCACAGCAGGTGTTAATATCTTCGAATTTTAGCATTTTCAATTTACAAATTTTTCGTTTGTGTGACCTGTTTTTTCAAGTAGGTCATTGTCCGTACAACTCTCTTTTGTGCAGTAACCAGGGATTGTGTTTTTGAAGAGCCAGAGGCCCCCATAGTGAGTGACTGTTGAGTGTGATACATGATACCTCACTGTTTATTGACTACTGTGAATGGCTTGTGTGTGGTTTCTCCAGTTAAGTTTCTCATCAACAATAACTCCGAGGAATTTAGTATTTTGTTCGCGTTTGAGGACTGTATTACCAAGGTACAGGGGGTCTGGGGGTAAGTTCCTCCTTCTGTGAAAGATCGTGTAGTGGGTTTTCTCAAGGTTTAAGGTCAGCTTATTACGTATTACCCAGGTCCTGACTATAGTCAATTCAGTGTTCATAGTTCTCATCAAGGAATGGAGGTCTGAGTTGTTGGCATAGAGATTACTATCGTCTGTAAACAAGTTGTATTTTATGAGTGTGCTGGCGTGGACTATGTCGTTTATGTACAACAAAAACAGTACTGGACTGAGAATGGAACCTTGGGGGATGCTATACAAGATTGGCTAGGAGTCAGATTGGTGATTATTATAGCAGACATACTGCATCCTGTTGGACAGATATGAGGTAAACCAATTGTGGGACAGGCCCCTAATGCCGTAATGTTCAAGCTGTGCAAACATAATCTTGCCTGTAGTGTCCTCTAAAAGAGGCATTCTATGCTTTAGCCTCCAATTTTTAGGACTTCCAAGTTTTCAAGGCAGTCACTCAGCTCTCATTATTAAAGTGAGCTTAGCCTTAGTTATGTCTTGCTGCAATTGTTGTGTACATTAGCTTATGACTAAATTTTGAAGGGAAGTGTGCATTTTCTTGTCCCAGAGGAAGGTGTCATGCAAACAGTGGAGCTGTTTTGTAGGGAAGTTGCATTTAGCAATTCTTATAGTGAAGTTAGGAAGGCTTATCCATTGGTCATTAGTTTTGAGGTGGAATCAGTTTTTTCAGGTCATATTTAAGGACTTAAGATTTCTTGAAAAACTAAATACTGTATGTTGCTTCATTGGTGGACATCAAACAGATGCTTGTCTTCTCTGGTCCCAAGGATGCCTCTTATGTGTGACTTATTAAATTAAGAATTGTTCTAATGAATTCTTTCTGTAGGTGAGAAGTAAATGATAAATAATTTTGCAATGTCAGACCATCACCAACTTCCAGTTATTGCATCATATAACCCTCTAGAGTCTAGATGGTTCAGTATGGGTAGGGCTTTGTTGTAGGATTGGAATAAATGGAAGTACTGTATGTTCATAGCTCTTTCCACCTCTTCTTGGAATGCGGCAAATAACGAAGTGCAAAATTCCAGAGGTTCAATTTGGCCAAGTAAAATTTGGTTCTCTCTCTTCATTCAATTTTGCCCAGAGCCTACTCATGTTTTATCATTAAGAATGCATATGGAAAGGGAGACAATATATTGCTCAGTCCCTCAGTCTTATTAACTGTTTTGATTTTATGTTTGTACTTTATTTTTTTATTATTATTATTATTATTATTATTTATTTATTTATTTTTTCATCAAAATAATATTTAACCCATTAAGCATCATTGCCATTTTAAAATGGTAGGACAGCATTGTAGTATCGTCACTATAGCATCACTGCCGTTTTTAAACCCCGCTGTATTTACCAATCTCCCGCACTCACTAGTGAAAGTGGGAACTGTCCCACGATGCACTTCAGGCATTTGCACAGGTAGAGGTCGGGGGGGCTTAAGCCCACGCCTCTGCCCTGCTAGTTACGGAGTGCCCTCCTTGATTTTTTTTTCTTTTTTCTTCTCCAATCATCAGTAACAATAGGGTAGGGCAGACATGGGCAACCTTTCCTCAGTCATGGGCTGCATAACTCAAAAGTAGTGTTAATATTGTATTACCATGGACAGTGAAGCAGCTTATTGTCATGTCCCCTTTACTATGTATTCAGTTTACAATCACAGGCTTCTTCCTATTTATGAAACAAATCCATCATAATAATTTGTTTAAGTAAAATGTTAACGTTTCTTTGCATTTAACAACAGAGGAGTGAAGCAGTCTATGAATGCGTTGATTTTTCCTTGTTTAATTTTCGTACTTACCGGTACTTAGTCTTAGGTGTTGAAGCAGTAATGAATTGTATAAAAATTATTCTTTTAATAAATATTGCTTTCCTCACCATAACCTGGCTACCTGAACCAGGGGCCACATTAAGTGGAATTTTTCAATCACTCCACGGGCCACACAAAGACATAGTTTGGGCTGCATGCGGCCCATGGGCCGCTGGTTGCCCCTGAAAAAAAAGGCAGATCAGCCTATTTAGGAAGCAAAGAACTTAGGGAGGAAAAAATCCTCTTATATCATTCTAAAGCCAAATATAAACACCCTTCTATAATATCATATATGGTGCGTTTAACAGTGAAAGATTTAATTTGTTTTAGCCACGGTTGAGCTGTACAGTAGCATTCAGTGACTCTGTTTCTTTAGTTTATGTTGTAAATAAGTTGTCTAATAATGTCATTGTATGGCATATGATTCATCTACACATGAAGTTGAGGTACATATTGAGAACCGGTATTTCATAAAGAAGCAGTTTAAATGTTGCTTTTATTGCATATTAACTATATTTAAATAAAAAAAATATAAAAATATACCAAAACTCAAGGGACATTCATAGCATACTGCATAATGGCATCAAAATAGCCCTCAAATAGATCAGATTTAAAAAAAACTGTAAAGGCTCTCTTCGCTCACCTCCTCCCTCAGGGGATGGTGTCCTTTATGCAAACTCTCAGCCCCCCATCAGACAGATCCTGTGCACCGCTCTGATGCACTTACCCGCATTGTTGTGTAGCGGAAGTTTAAATGCCTGGAGTGCAAAATTATGCAATTTTTCGGACTTTAGACATCAACATACACAATTTATTTTCACTTTTTTCCTGACAGGACACCTATTGCCAGAACTGGTGGATGCTTAATGGGTTAATATGAATTCTATGAGAATTCTTTGATACATAGAGAAGATAAGGTTAGCATGTTGGTAATTAACTCTCAAGGTTATGAAATTTATATATTTATTTTGGAACATCATATGCTTTTCATTTATGAAGTACTGAAGTGCAAAAAAATGCAAAATTTGGGCTTTCATTTGCAACTGACTGAGTACACTTGGCAGCAGGGATTGTGACACACACTGGTAGATTAAGCAGTGTGAGTACAGCACCTTTCCAAAATTAATTTTTCATAAATTGGAGCCATTTTTCCTATTGACTGCCATTATATAAAGGGAGATACATTCCTCCTCCTGTTGTGTTGGCCCTATGAAAATTACTTACAGGAATTGGTGGCACATCCATGGTCACAATCAAGATTATCAGGTGTATCACCTTCATTATCAAATTATTCTTCCTGTTGTGTGAGGCCTGAGTTGTGGTCATTGCCATGTTGTTGTTGATGTGTGTGACAGAGGCATAGATTCATCAATTTCTTCCTCCATATCAACATCACTGTGCTCAGGCTGATGTAATGTCATGACTTGTTGCCTTTGACCCACAGTGCTGCATCTAAACTCCCTTTCAGCAATTAATTTGAGAAGGAAGGCTTAAACCAGTAACCAAATTTGAGAGATATCTATGTTATAGCCTTGTTGATTTAGTGGGGTAATCCTTGAATCACTTAGCCTTGGATTGGTCATGAAATGAGATTGCAGGATCAATTTGTAAAGTATTTACATGTAATTGTTTTTGGTCTTTGATAGACAAGCCGTATACAGTTTTGTTTCATTTTATGTTTAACCATTTTCAGGAATACACCAACAACTCAATAACACTAGTAGTATTAAGAGACTAAGTTGTTATGAGTAGTTCAATGGAGTGTTGTTTACCATCCGCCAATGATGCTGCTACCTGAGAATCAAATAATATTGAAGTACAGTTTTGTACATATAACTCCTGGATAATGTCCATAGACTTAGTTGGGGTGAAGCCATGAATTCTGGAATGTCTGTATAGCTTGGAGCAACCGGTGTGGGTAATCCATATACTGTAGTGCTTTAACTACTGTATATAGTTGGAGGATGTGGTAATGACTAGTGAGTAATAAGTACATATTGTTAGAGTATTCCTTGTCACAAATCGAAAGGGAGATATTCCCATTAGTTCATTGTTTGATAATGGCAGGTGGATCTCCATCAAGTGATGCTACCCCAGGAATGCCACTCATGCGTGTGGAAGAAGAAGGGCCATGTCGAAAAAACCTTGACGCTGTAACAGAAAAACCCCCCAATGTCCTTGTTTATGCTGCAAATAAGGTAGAAAGAATACTTCTAAATATCTTTCGAAAACAAACAAAGTGTACAAGATGACTCATTAATTTTAATTTGATTATGAAATTTTTTTTTTAATTCAATGTATAAACTTAGATGATTCATTTGACCTTTTCATACAATTGATATCATGCATCAGATACTGCATGTGGTAGTACAGGAACCTCTCCATTTGGTCAATAATTACATTTTTGAAAACAGACATGTAAATAAAAAATTGTAAATTAAATAATGTAAATAGTGGAGATTAGGGGGCCTTCATTATTAATAGACTTGCAAGGAAATATAAAATACAGTAATACACTGGCAATTCCTTATATACTCTAGGCTTTTCCTTGTATCACAAGCATGCTGACAGGAACATTTTTGTGAATTTGGTGTTTGATCCATGAGCTCAACATTCGTTCCATTCTCTCCATAATTGAACTGATTAATGTTCCACTCTTGGCACTCTCCTTGATCTTTTCTGTACTATCATGAATAGTCCATGAAGTATTTTCACTAAGATCAAGGGCACGTGTAATATCAGCTGTTAGTTCACCTCTCCTAACATTGAGCACATCAATCTTAACCTCAGTGGTGATGACCTTATGATTCTAAGCACCACTGGTACCAGGAGAACTTAAAGGATGCTTTGGTGGCATGATGCAAGGGACAAGACACGTGCAATATACAGTACAGGCAGTCCATGAGTTATAAACGCTCAATTTACGAACACCTGCTATTACGAATAGACCAATACAGTTAAAGTCCATAAATCCGGATGCCAGAAATCCGGACCACCTGAAATCGGACTTTTCGAAAAATTTTTTTTTTAGCTGGCTTTTTGTGTATACATATGCATGGCGCCACAGCTGCACAAGCGACAACAAGTGACCCACAGCGGTTGCCACTTAACGAGCAATCAAACTGTGACAATGTATGTAATTTTGAATCTTACTCTTTCCATTTACAGAGTACTGTACAAGCCCATAATAATGGCTCCTAAAGTAGATAAACTTTATTGTGAAGAGGAACAACACGTTGAAAGTTGACAAACTTGAAATAATTAAGAAACTAGAACGTGGTGTGAGCAATACTGTTCTAATGAAACATCCGACATTGGAAAGTCTACAATTTATGATATAAAAAAGGCAAAGTTAAAATTCTAGAATTCACAGCTTTTTCTTTAAACTGCTCGCTTTGATAAATGAAGCATGCTATATTTGCTAATGAATAAACTATCAAAATGTACCTGTTCATCTCTTCTTTATTCCTCCTTAAATTTGAATTTTAAAAGTACTGCCTGAGAATCCGGAAAATCCGAAAATCGGCCGACCCAATCCCCAAACAGTCCGGATTTTTGGACTTCTACTGTATATTCATCATAAAAATACCTATCTGAAATCCATTTTTTAATATTACTTTCATTATTCTATATTGTTTAACATCACTTTATTTACAGTACAGTATAGTATACATTATTTGTTATGTAGGGGAATTTTTTGTTTTATGGGCAAGTTTGTACAGTATATACAACTAAAATCTCATTTTGTACATGACTTTATACAGTATTGTTTAACTTAACTTTACTTATATTATCTGTAAAGTATGGGATACTATTGCTGTTTTGTATGGATTTAAACTCTGTTTCGACTTAAGAACAGATAGACTTACAAACAGGGTACAGAAATGTAACCCGTTCATAAGTCGGGGATTGCCTGTATACTGTTGTACTCTGTCACTATAGACTGTATCTACTGTATTTTGTGCCATATAAGATGCACCCTCCATTTCATCAGGGAGTATTTAGGAATTTTTTTTTTCCTCTTGTAGCCATAGTTTTTAATGATATATACAGCACCAGTAAATGTGAGGAATAAATACAAATAATACCAATAAATAAGTTACAATAAAAAATACTGTATTGTGAAAATAGTAAATAAAAACCAAATGAGAGTTCAACACAATCATCATTTGCCTTCACTCCCTGCTTCACCACAGCAATGCAGACCAGGAGGCCTTCCGCTTACTCCCTAGCAACGCTCCCCTCCCCACTTTGTCCTCTCCTGCTCCCCCACTGAGCCAGCTAACTAGTGTGCAAAGAAATGTATACTCCCTTTATGTGTTTGCCCTGATGACAATATTTATTTTATTTATTTTTTACATTATGTATGTAGGATGGTGTGTGCATGTAATTGAGTAAAAATAAATTTTAAAAGTTACGTTTATCTACCCAAAAATACGAGTAGAAGAACATCATAACGCCTCACAGCTTGGCTCAGTAGCCTGGTGGTTTCATTGACAAGTCTAACTTGGCTACAATGCCGCCAGCGATGTTAACAGATGCAAATGTGAAAAGAAAGTTATCTGTAAATCTTCATTTGTATCAGATATTTATAGGTTTAAAAATAATTGTTGCAGGTATGACATTAATAGATAGTAATCCTTGTAGGAGTTCAGAAATGGTTACTATTTAACTACCTCTGAAGAGTTGGGTGTCAGCTGTATGGACGTTAATCATCTTGGGTTATCATCATCAGTACAGTACAATAGTTATAAATCCAGCTTTTGTATTTACAATAACTATTTTTTTAATTAGTTAAAAAATTATAGTGTGTTTAAGTAAGCAATAACATACTTTTAATTCTGGAGTTGGGTTAGGTAGAATTTAGCCGACTGAAGACAGCAACAGGGGTAATCATTAGCTTATGGGAGACCGCAACTTCACATATAGAACGCAGGCCAATTTTTTTAGCCATTTAAAAAAAAGTGCTTCTTTTATGCCATAAAATACAAAGTATGCACTGAGAACTGTAAGGTGGGAAGCTGCATACTCATGCCGCATGTATAAGCACTTCTTGTGAGGAGTGGACACCACCTCGCTGCAAGCCCACGTGAATTTAAAAAAGTGAAATGGACCCATACATGTTATTTAAAAAAATGGCCTAAACAAATTACACATAAATCGAGAGGTACTTGTATAGTGTACATACTTTCATTCATACTGTAGCTATACTGTATATATATGTTTGCACTTTTTCAGTGTGTGTGTAAAATTCTCTTTATCTGTCAGTGTTTCACTTAATTTTTTGGTGGCTTTTATTTTATACCTACTTTTCATTGATGGGGGTTTAATTATCATTGGTGTTCCCTCAGGTACGCCATTTACCAACTGACGGATGAGATGGCTTTTAAATCTCCATGGACCGGTAGTACCACACTATTAGTGGTGTGTGGTGATGTTCCAGCACATGTGTCAACAGTCTTTATTAGGTAATGTGAAATGAAATTGTTTCTTTAACCCCCTACTCCTTGGGCTAAGGTGCATACCCATACCCCCCCAGGGTAAAAGCAGAAAATCAACTTTCCTAAAAGAAATTTTAACCTTTATAAATGTTAAAACAATAAAAAGATGCAAGAAAAACTATACATTGTCCCTCTATATTCTTCTGTGGCGCCTCAGTGATGAGACAAATGGGGGGAGGAGGTTACTGCCAGCAGCACCCTAACCTGGGGCTTAAGGGTTAACCCTTTTGCTGGCTGATGACACTATTTGTGTCACTACACTACACGTGAGGAGAGAGATGTCTCCTTTGACACTGAGCGCTCACACTGGCCAGACCACTCACATAGGGATCCCGTGTGTAGGGTAATATCTTCCAACACTCATTTTCAGCCATCCCATATTGTTTATGCTACTTTTTGTTCTTTTATCATTCAGATAGTTTATCTCTTTAACTTGACAAAAAAAGAACAACAAATCTGCATAATCTATGCATTTTGGATGGCTTAGGCAACGTCATCGGCTTGTTCAGATTGTTCCTCATTATTACAACCAACAAACATATTGAGTTTTTTATATTATTTTTTGGTTGGGTATCATTGGGTGTTTCGCTTTAATTGCCAACCTTGCATCTGTATAATATGGTACAGTACATTATAACTCTTACACACAGGACAACCTCAAAGAATGAATTAAAATACATCTTTAAGAGTAGGGATTCCTACTTTTTCTGGGAAGAAGGAGTCCTGGATTCCTACTTTCAAAGTCCGAGTGAAAATCCTGAGTATGTACTGTACAGTGAACCCTCACTTTACTCGGTCAATTGAACCCACGGCGGCCCGCTTAAAGTGAGAACAGCGTAAAGTGAACAACATAACATATGGGATTAATTGAAATAGAGCAGGCTGCCCCAAACTCCACTTTTTCAGACACAATACCTCGTTGTAGTAAAAATAACTTCTTAATTTTATGATGGTATGCACACACAATTAATAATTAAGAGAAATATCAATAACATTAGGTGTTTTAACACTTACATTAGTAGAAAAGATGGCTGGGCACATGGGGATGGGGGTTGGTTCGAGGCAGAGGGCAGATTATTGGCCCTCACCTGTATCACTGTATCAATTGTATCACTATCCACCACAGAGGCTTGCAGGGCCTCTTTGTCAAACCCTCAAAGTCCATATAAGTCCATATCCTCACTATCATTATCACTGACTTGGGCGGCTGTGGTGGGTGGCGGTGAAGAACTCGGTAATGTTTTGATGACTGGGCGACCTTGTGTGCACCCTGCTTGCGCTGCTCTCCGCGTAAAAGGGTACACATGAAGTGAGCATTCCGTGTTCGACGGTACCGCATAAACGTGGAAACACGTAAAGTGGGACCGCGTAAAGCGAGGGTTGACTGTATATTCACACTTACATTTACTTACACTTTATATTTAGTTTCATTTATGTTAGTACAGTCTGCAATTAAATCTTGCTGATGTCATAAAAAGTACCGTATTTTTCGGCTTAGAAAATGCACTTTTATTACAAAATATACCTTGAAAATTACCATGCACCTTCCATGACGCTAGTTGATGAGTTGTAGCAGAGGTTTTCTTAGGGTCAACTGAAATCAGCCCCTTACAAAGACTGTTACCTCATTACAGACCTTAGCAATTACAAGTACAGTATACAGTAGTCTGGTTTTACTCGGTTAATTCAACCCATGGAGGTCTGCATATAAAGCGAAACTCGTAAAAAAAATAACAGAACCTATGGGATTAATTGAAATAGAGACTGGACCCCAGACTACCCTTTTTTTTGGCTATCGCCGACACAATACTTTACATTGTAGTAAAAATAGCATCTTAATTTTATGATGGTATGCACACAATTAATATATAAGAGAAATATCAATAATATTAGGGTTTTTTAACACTTACGCTATAGGAGAGATGGCCAGCACACGAGGATGGGGGGTTGTGCCGAGGCAGAGGCAGATTTATTGGGTCACCTGTATCTCTATCCACCACAGAAGCTAGCAGGGCCTCATCGCTAAATCCCCGAAGTCCACATCCTCACTATCACCGACTTGGGCTGACTGTGGTGGTTGGCGGTGAAGAACCCAGTGATGTTTTTGTTGACGGCCAGCATTGATGTGGTCGGATACAAAGCTGAACATAGGGCTCCTGCAGCATTTCAACAGATGGTTATTTGCACTTTTGTAGCTTATGATTGACTGGGTCTTTAGCAAGGATGAGCTTCATTCTCTCGCCAACCTCGATGATATCCTTCACATCAGCATGTGTTAGTTTCTGCTCTGTTCTTCTGTAACACCTGGCTGCTCACCGATCGCCATCATCTTCCAACATCTCGTCCCAGAAAGTCACCCCAGGTGTCCTGATTACCCAGGATGTTGTCGTTGGTGGTCTCTGGAGAAGCCTGTGCTCTAACACTTTGTGCAGCCTCTCTTGTATTCTCCAATGCCACAGCAACAGATTGAGCTCTCTCCAGCCACCGGGCTATTTCTGCCTCCCACCTGGGATACCTCCACCACATGCTGCCACGCAGCTTAATCGTTGCCACAGATAGCTGTTCTCATGCCTCCACCAAGAAATCAACAGCCTTCACATTAAACAGCTTTCAGATCTGTTTGACCCGCACTTCATGGTCCGCCAAATCTTGTTAGTTTTCTCGCTTCTCGCTTATCGTGCCACTCTAGGTTCTGCTGTTCATCATTGGTGTTGGGTGAAGTCGTTCAGAGCCAAAACTTCTTGGCGGAGAAAGTTGAGCCTGCACGCTTCAAATTAACTCCTGATCCATGGGCTGGATTAACTAATGAATGTTAGCTGGAAGGAAGACCACTTTTACGCTAGGGTGACGATCCAGCAAAAGGGGCGAGTGTCCTGCGCGTTGTCGAGGAGCAACAAAATGTTGAATAAGTACATTATTTTCCACGAGAATTTCTTGATATCGAAACGCAGGACGGTTGTCAAATCCAGGAGAGGACAGACCAGAACATCCACGCTTCCCTGGAGGCGCTAGCCAGCGGACATTTAACTTGCTCATGTCCATATTCTTGTAGGCATGCGGTTTATGGGTTTTAGGATCACAGACAACTTCAGCTTAGCAGTGCTGGAGGCATTGTAGAACTGTAATGGTGATTCGCCATTTCCTGGCATTTTAAGGGCCCTGACACTTGCTGGCAGACTTGGACTACGAAGGTCTTGGATGGCACTTTCCAGTACAACCTGATTCATCCATATTAAACACTTGGTCGTCGTGTATCGTCCTTCCTCCATAATTTTCCCGTAAAATGGGGGAAAAATTCTGGCGGCAGCCCGGTCAACACTTCTTGCTCCTTCTCCGACCATTCAATATTTGTGATCTTGTTGCGTCAGTTAAAACCTTGCAGCCACCAGCAGAAGCACTGAAGGGCCGGGCTCTGCAACCCCATTTTCTTGCTACTGCTGCATAGAACTCATGAAGTCCTGCAGTGCCCGGAAACACCGCCATGTTTCTTCTTGACTGACGGTCAATGTAGCTTTACCAACAAAGTCTTGGTCTTCAGCAGCACCTTATTGTGGCAATATTTCACCAGCTTAAGGGCACCTACAGACTATAGGTAATGTCTATGTGTTCATTGATTTTGTTACATCCTTCTTGGATAGTGCGGATCGTCGATTTATTCACTCCATATTGTCTGGCCAGATCCAATTCTGCCCTCAGGCCTTTTTTTCTAACTCCTGGACAATCTTGTACTTTACCTCGTGAGCGCATAAAAAGGCCGTGACCTTCTGGCTTCGCTGCTTGGGCCAGGTAGCTTAGGCCGGGTGGTGGGGGGTCCAGCGAAAAAGCCATTGTGTAGAAAGAAAACAAAACCGGTTGTTGGGCACGAGGAATACACGCGACAGTCAACCGGCTGCCGACAGTGGTCGAGAAACGAGGTGGCAGTGATGGCAAGGTTAAATAGACCCTCTGGCCCAGCAGAGGGGGTGCATGGGTGGTGGAAACGTGGCTCAATCACAGTCCGCCAGCGTCATCGGCGCGAGTGTGACGTCAGCACCCAGCACCTTGCCCCGCCGCTTGCCGCGTATATGGTGGCATTTACTGCGTAAATAATAATTATTGCTTCTGGACAGGTGCCGCGTAAATGGACCGTCCGCGTATAAAATATCCGCGTAAACCCAGACTATACTGTATTCTCTATACAGTACAATATTACCCCGCTTTATGCGGTTTCACTTTACGCGATTTCTCATATCTGTGCCTCGCCAGAACCGAACTTTCACTTTCCGCGGTTCATCTACCCATATACGGTAGTATAATTTTTTTTTTTTTTTAGCTCATAAAATTCATACAAATTACCTGGCCAGAATATAATTTACATTGCTGGAATTCTTACAATTTGATGATCATTTTGAATATGAACATCGTAGATTTTGCATGAGACATACAAATTTTAGATGTAATGTTTACTCTGAGTAAATATGTTATCTTTTGTGCATAATATAGGACATTTATATTCAAAATATTCCTGGTCTTACAAGGAATCCAGCAATGTCAATTATATTATCCTAACTTTAGTCTGAGGTATTATTTATTACTAAAAAGGTAAATACAGTGGGGTATGCTACAACGAATCTAATTGGTTCTAGAACCTTGTTCGTTATAGCATTCGTTCAGTATAGGAATAATCCGTTCCAGGCCCCCAAATACAACCACTTAACACTGAAAAATATAATATAAAATTGTAAAAATTGTAAAAAAGTGCATAAATATGCATCTAAACCCCTGAAATAAAGAATATCATTAATATTTGTAATAAAAAAACAATAAATTAGAAAAAAAAAATTAAATAATGTTGTAGGAGTTTAGGTTCATTATAGCATTCTCAATTTTATAGGTAAAACCGTTAGATTATAGGAATATTAGTAGTAGGATCCGTTAGTTATAGCATCCCACTGTATTCTGGTTTTCCCACACATTTATCTGGTAGGGAGGGTTGGTGGGGGGTGGGGGAGGGAGCGACCGACCAACTATGTGGCACGGTGTGAAGAATATATTCTTTTAATTAACTGAAGATATTTGTTTTATTTCATAAAATTCATACAAATTACCCGGCCAGAATATAATTTACATTGCTGGAATTCTTACAATTTGATGATCATTTTGAATATAAACATCATAGATTTTGCATTAGACATACAAATTTTAGATCTAATGTTTACTCTGAGTAAATATGTTATCTTTTGTGCAAAATATATGACATTTATATTCAAAATGTTCCTGGTCTTACAAGGAATCCAGCAATGTCAATTATATTATCCTAACTTTAGTCTGAGGTATTATTTGTTACTAAAAGTTAAAATTAGTTTTTTCACCCAACATTTCTCTGGTAGGGAAGGAAGGTGGGGGGTGGGGGGTAGGGTTGGGACTGACCGACCATCTGGCGCTGTTGGAAGAGGGGGGGAGGCAAGTTGGGGTACTTTGATTGACAGATAGTGTCGTGAAGAATATTTGTTTTTTATTAACTGAAGTTATTTGTTTTAGCTCATAAAATTCATACAAATTACTGGACCAGAATATAATTTACATTGCTGGAATTCTTACAATATGATGATCATTTTGAATATAAACATAATGGATTTTGCATTAGACATACAAATTTTAGATTTAATGTAATAATTTGGTTTACACAAAGCAAGTATTTTATCTTTTGTGCAAAATATATGAAGTTTACATTCAAAATATTCCCTGACCTGCAAGGAATCCAGAAATGTCAATTATATTATCTTAACTTTAGTCTGAGGTATTATTTATTACTAAACGTTAAAATCTAGTGTTTCACCCAATCATTTCTCAGAGAGGTAGGGGCCAGTGAGCTGGGAAGAGGGGGGGGGAGGGGATTTGAGTCTATTATTTGAATGGACATTAACCTGGCGACTGTATTTCTCTTAAATAGTAATTGTGTGAGCATACCATCATAAAATTTAGATGTTATTTTTACTACAACATAGGTATTGTGTCGGAAAAAGTGGAGTTTGGGGGTCGGGCCAGTCTCTATTGGAATTAATCCCATATGTTCTGTTGTTCCATTTACGCGGATTTCACTTTCCGCGGTACCCTGTGGGTTCAATTGACCGCGTAAATTGGGGTACTACTGTACTATAAAACAATTGATTTAACTAATATTGTTGATATACTGCAAAAAATACGATTATTTACTTACTCAGTAGGTAAAAAATAAGAAAATAAACGGCTGCAGCTACACAACTGTTGCTGCTGTGCGATTTGTTTACTAATGGCAGTGGTGCGGCAGTGCCATCTATTGAGGAATTGCTAAAGGTTGTCTGGTGGTCTCAAAGCGCAGGAATATTTGTTTCTTCACACTTTCTTACCAAAATTTTTAATTCAATTGATTTTACCGAGTTGCTTTTTTGCTTTTAATTTTTGTCTTTAAATAAAGATTTTTTTGTTTTCTTTAGACGTTGATATACATGTTTACATTTGCTTACCTTCTACTGTTGGAAAATATTTCCTATAATGTCAATGTTGAAAGACCATCGAGCACTAGTAATAAAATGTAAAATTTATTAAAGATATCCACTTCTTATACAGATTTTTTCTTAAATTGATGAAAATAACGACTGATAAGCAGTTATAAGTGATGATATTCAAAGAGGTGTGTGTACTTGTGCCAAAAGGGCTGTATATCAAGCAACGGTTTCACTGGTGTCGGTTAGTAAGTATAAAACGTTTTTTCCTAGAATTACATTTTCAAAATCAGGGTGCGTCTTCCACGATGCAGCGTCTTCTAAGCCGAAAAATACGGTACTCCACTTCAGCTCAAACTCCTCAAGACGACTTTCATGGAAACCCCAGCATCAATTCTGTCACATATCTTTAGTTTCTGTTCAATTAGTAGAGTTCTGAGTACCATTTTGTTTTCTCCTAGTGATCTTCAGTAGTGGTGTTTTGCCCTTATTTGGTTTAGAGGCCATAATAATACACCAGGGAAGGACGAAATATGAACAAAACACAAGAGTACGTGGTGAAGTAATGTTCGCGACAACAAATACTGTACATGGAAACTGGTGCCTCACGCAACTGCCACGTGATCCCCCAAAGCCGGAGGATCGTATGACTTATGGGCATTTCTGACTCACAGAAGTCTGTTTAAAAGTGGTGATACTGTACTATTTAGAATTTGATTTGAATTATTAGCATGAACGATGTAGTATAGGTATACTGTATATGACTGAGTACTACCTGTATTTCACTTGAGATAAACTTCAGTGTATAAGTGATATGCAAAACTTATCATTCTTATATCTTCAGTTATTTAAGGAGGAATAGGACTGTTCTACCTTTGTATTCCTTAATTGTTAAGAACAACACAGAACAGTATAGTTAAACAGGATAGTGTACGTGCTTCAATATAGTTTTACCATTCTCTGATTTGTAGAGTTTATTTTACCAAAGATTTGTTTGGTTAAGTATAATACAGTATATCCCCATGCAGATATCTCCTCCAGGGAGGTCGAGTTCTCTCAGTGTGCTCAGACTTTCTAAACATGGCCGTCCCACTCTTTGGTAAGTTACTTCCTCTGCATGTTAATTGTCTAATGTCCTGTGTCTTCCAACTTGCTTCTTTGTATTTACAACTTATTAACTTCCTTATTTAATACTTGCACTAAAGACATATCTCCTACATACAGTATTCTCAGTTATAATAATTTTCTTTTCATCTTGATCCTTATGTCATGAGACAATTTCTATACTTAAAAGTTTCCACCATCTAAATTTAGCACTTATTGTATTGCAGTGCTAAGAAAAATTTCACCTTCAAAGACAGTATTTGTTTATAAGATTGTCCAGATAAATTTTTCATTTAAATTGCTGTTATTGAGATTTAATGGAAGGGCAGGTGGCATGATCTTGAATGGTTGTCATAACTGTTTTTGTGCTTTATCCATCCAGACTTGCATTGATGAAAGCTTTAGTGACAACTTCATGCTTGCAACTGCTGTCACATCATTATTTCTCCAGCCTTCATCAAGTTATTTAATGCATTATTTTAATATTTACATAAGTAATGGTTGACTTAAATTATGGTCAGACTTTTTAGATAATGACTAGAAGGCTTTTAACTTTATTATTCTGCGAGACATTATCTTTTGCTTCTCTCTTCGCCTCAGTTAACTTGGTTTACAGTTTTCATGTTCACCGGTAGTTTCAATAGTTTTTGAGTTAATGAAACAACTTCCAGCCATACAAGTAGTTTTTGTATTAAATTTAGAAGTTATATTTTGCACTTAGACTCATTTTAATAACTTGATGAGGTTTGGATGTATAATCTTATAATTATTTTAATTAGGTACATTACTAATGTGGTTCTGGGCTTATAATTTCATATTTGTATCCATATTTTTAAATTAGTAGTTTCTCTGTAGCGGATAAAATTAGTGAATATAGTGGAGTTATATTTTAGGTAGTGACCCAGACACCACAAATATTATGATTATTTAATATGGTAATAACGGAATCTTCTTCCCTTTCGGTGTTATGGGTTTTAGCTTTCGAGCTGCCCTGGACCTCTAGCCTTGTAGCCTCAGGTATTTCCTCCCACATATGTAACCGTCCTAACACTCACACCCGTGTAGGACCCCCACTTGTGTATGTACTTTGATAGCTTGGGGTTGCACTGTCACAACTGACATGTACTAAAGATGTCACACATTGTACTACAGTATTCAGAAACTAGCTTAGTGTGTAAGGGTTCACAAACATGAGAATTCCACCTGTAGGTCACAGACTGTGTACGCTGTACAGGTATTGTCACATATGACAGTATTGCTCCAAGCCATTATGTTTAGAAAGGCATTTGTGATGGGCTTTGTTTAGCCACCTTGCTTTGTGCATTTAGTAATGTGGGCACTGCATCCATTGCTTGTGTTTGATGGTGAATGGCTTTTTAGTGATTTCAGTATTGTATTTTTGTATTACCCGAGCATCCAGCACCTTATTTATTTAATTTTTTTGTATTAGATTGTGTAATACAGTAGATAGATTAATTAAGTGTTGTTTAGTGTACACACAGTATATACCGGTACTGTTAGTCAGTGGATGTATTGTTTGGATTTTTTTATTTACTGTATTATTACAGTTGGAGTAGCTACACTTCTCTGAAATAAACAAAGCTTTTAACCTTGGAATTACTATAATGGCATAATTTTACTATTAATAATAAATATGTATACTGTACTGTATATATAAATAAAAATTTTATACAGTATTATCATATAACATTGTAAATATTGTCACTACCAGCAGTGTAGACCTGATCAACAGGATTGATCTTATTCTTCACTATCACTCATTTCCAGCATGCTTTAAGTTAGTCTCTTAACAACCTCTAGACTCATGTCAGGTGGACTATAATTGAGTTTATTGACATGGAGAGCTGTGGTTGGTTACGTCCTCCTTCCAGATGTTTGGAGAAGATTTTGCAAATATTACCTTGCTTAGATATGAAATAATATGGACAAGATTATGGGCTTAATTAGATCATCATCCACTTTCTATTCCCATCAGTAGACCATTTATTACCTTGCACATTGGAGTAGAGACATTCATAAAGGTTCTTTAAATAACCACATCATTATTTTCTGTCTTATACCATAAGTTATCCCGGTCTATCAGAACATGCTGTGAAAATAACCCCCAAAAGTTAGTACAGTAGTAATATCTCCGTTAGCCGGAATCCCTCTTAACCGGAACTCTCCGATACCCAGAATTAAAATTTTCTCAAAAAATCGTTCCCAAAGCCTGAATTTTCAGGGAAATTCTGGCTTTGGGCAGGATATTCTGAGGGGCAAATTTTCCCGGTACCCAGAAAATTCCAGGAAAATTCTGTGGATGGGGGAGTTTTTTCTGGGTATGATAGATGAAAATCAGGCGCATTTTCCGGAAATTCCGAGAAAAATGGAGGATATTTTTCCGGTTTGATAGATGATGTAATGGGCAATTTCTGGAACTTCCGAAAAAAAAATTTTCATTACCCAGAAAATTCTGGGGATAGGGGATTTTTTCCAGCTTTGAGCGAGTTGTCTCATTAGTACCCGGAAATTTCTCATTCTTGGAAGTGCTCTGCACCAATTATTCCAACTGACGGAGATATCACTGTACACGTATTCAAATTAACTGCCATAAATACGTGTGTTATTGTTAAGTTTTTCCTCTCTTAACTATAAAGTTAGATACCCATTCACAGGTGAGTGGACTGGGGAGTGCTCGAGGCGAGCATTTTCCACTTGGCCATTGGGTTGTTCCTATTGCATTCAGTGATCATCCTAACCTATCTAAGCTTGTTTGCACACCCCTTGAAGAGTTTGTCTTTGAATATTAATTCAAGATCATAGGTAAACTTACATTATCTACTTATACAGGGTATTATATGTGGGTCTGTTCACTTCCACAAGAGATTGTCCCATGAGCCTCTCATGGTAGTAGGCAGCTACCAAACAAGGAGGTACTACTGCCTGGGAAGATATTGGAGGCATAATATTTTGTTAAATGGTAGACCCTGCTGTTATATGGCATCAAAAAAATTTTGACCAAGTCCCAGGTTGCTGATCTGACTTTCTACCTCATTTACACACAATTGCAGGGTCTCAATTATAACTCTTATTATTGACAACACAACATACATATATTGTTTCTCACTTTGTATTTATGGTTCTTTATTATTATTATTATTATTATTATTATTATTATTATTATTATTATTATTATTAGTATTTTATTTTTTTATTTTTTATTTACTGTACTATGAATTATTATTATTATTATTATTATTATTATTATTATTATTATTATTATTATTATTATTATTATTATTATTATTATTATTATTATTATTATTTTGACCCCCCCAGACCCTGATGTGGGTCAGTGACCTGTGCCTGGGTGGGCTAATCCCCGTAAAAAAAGAAAAAATAAGAACTGACTTTCTGAGCAGAAATTTCTTGACAACCTTTTTCAGATCACACCAAGAACAATCTGTGAGGGATTCAACCCTTGTTCCTAGTAAAGAAAACCACCTAGAAAGTGGACTGAAATTAGATTATCTGTTTGACACATTGATGTTGGCATCCCCACAACTAACACACCAACATAGACTGATGAAGGGTCATCATAATCTTTCATTATTTTCCACAATGGTTGCTGGGTTATACAGTATATTTCCCACAAAATCTCTCATGCCAATCATTCTCTACACTTGTACTTTAGTCATTCATGCTACATGTTCAACTTTTGCCATGGGTTACTGCATGTAGTAACTCACTTAAAATCCTGTGGATTGCCCACTATTCACTTACAATGAATGTGTTGTAATGTTCTTTCTGCAGAATGCCTTTAACTTTAGAAACTAGTACAGTAACACAATGAGAAAGTTTCTATGACAGTTAACATCTTTCTCTGTTTATATCTGAGTTCATATTTTCTCTAGGAACTTTCTTTGAGAAGTTAAACACATGTACAGTAATATCTTCCACAAACATGCAAGCTCCTGGTGCACAAATATGTGTAACATGTAACCCTTATGAAACCTATGATAAATCATTATGTAGTAAATCTTTTTATAGGAGATATATACTGTACTGTATTCAGTGGTCCCTCGGTTAACGAGCACAATCTGTTCCAGTAGGTTGCTTGTTAACTGAAAAATTCGTTAACCGAAACCATTGTTTCAATGGGTTTTTGGGTAATTGGTTCCAGCTCACCGAAAATTGCCTAAAATCAACAACAAAGGTAGTAAAGTACATTTACTTTGAGGTGTGTATGTAGAAGGCTCCTGGATGATGATGATGATGGGAATTAGAATGGGGGTGGAGGAGAAGGGAGAAGAGAAGGCATTGGTGTGGAAGAGAAGTCACCCCATGCTGCCATTTCACCCATAAAATTTTAGTTCACTTGGTGTGATTCAAGATTATTTTCTTTAAATCAACACTGCACTGCACTATATATTATCAATATGTAAAATATATTTCAAAATGACCAATAATTTGACTGGAAACACAGAAAAAAGGCATTTATGTTGAAGAGAGTCTGAAGCAAGATGTTCCCTCCACTGAAAAGACACAGAGACTGATGCCTGTATGGTGTGTTGACAGGCTGTTTGGCGCGCTAAAAACTAGTTTCCCTGTACTTAAATTATGTTAAATAATTGTTAAAATGACTAAATATTTTAATATAAGTCTTTTAAAATTATTGAATAGTACAAACTTCTTGATATTTACTCAAATAATAAGGAATTTAAGCCCTAGAACCGATTACTGTATTGGCGGACTAATATGACAGCTAGTGTGCAAGCGAAAACATGTTGAGGCGCGCTCGAAAGGAATTCGTAAATCGAGGGATTGCTCTTTAACCGAAGTTAAGAATCTTATGGAAGGTAATTTGTTAACCGAAATTTTGTTAACCGAGGCGCTTGTTAACCGAGGGATCACTGTATGTACAAATTACTAGAAATTAAATAAAAATACATATAAGGTTGAAAGCTATAGGTTTTTTTTGTATAATATTTGGGAAATGAATCATTGTTTGAATACAATATAAACTGATTTAATTTTTGGTGGTAAGGTTCTACATATTGTCTGTGCTGTAAAGCTCACTTAGTCTGTCTGACAGACCCAACCATTCTTATATATACAGTGTTGGTGCTTACTGAGGTAGCTGCATTTTCAACCTTGTCTGGATCCATCAGTCTTAGAGACTTTTAGAAGACAAATAAGGGTCTCCAAATAATATGGATGTTAATATTAAATGCACAAAGTTCGTTGAGCCTTGGGAACTACTGGTATTCCTCTGTATTTAACAACACAGTTTCTTCTTTGATCTTCCTCTCATAGAAAGTTGGGCTTTTAGGCTTAATCTCCATTTGCACCCTTTATTCCTTTTCCAATGGCCAGACTTGTTCATCTGACAGTCAACTAGTACTGTAGTTTATGAGACAGATAAGTGATATTAAGTCTTAGTTGTGCTATAGCAGCCACTTAGCTGCTTGTATTCTGTAGAGGCGATAGTCTTGATTCTCGTCAGTCAACATCTTCCTGCAGGACATTATATTTGCTCTCGTTGGTCTAACCCTAGACCTGAAAACGTTTTGACTTTAATCGCTCATAGGAGCGGTTTTGGCTTGTGCAGGACAATAAGACCCTTGCCATTGACGCGAATTATACTCATTTTGTCAACGACAAGGGTCTTATTGTCCTGCACAAGCCAAAATCGCTACGCACTGGTAACACTGATTCAGGTGACCTTTTAGGTTATTCCTTTGTGTGAGGGCAAATAAGCTCCATACACTGATTATAACTCAGAAATTGATTTGACCTGGTTTATCTTTAATCCTAGGTTTTGAAATTGTACTAGTGTATGTTGGGTCACCCTTTGACAATCTTCGAAAGAGTTTCCCGCTGTCAGCCAATCTTCTAGATAAGCAAAAGTTCTTATGCCTTCTTTTGCAGGGATATCTCTGGGGATGTTTGCCAGTTTTGTAAACACTTTTGGCGCAATTGTCAGGCTGAATGGTTTCACTGGGAATTGATAACTT